CGTACGCGAGACAACTCGTCTCGAAAAAAAGTTTCAATGATAAATTTTTTTAAAAACATGATCCATTTTGCGACTGATGTGTAGTGGAGTGCCGCAGCATGCACTTCCAACCACGCAGCTAGTGTGGAGAATTGTCAAGACATACAACGATTTGATTTACACATAGCACGGGGCCACTACAGCAGTGTATTGTTGGAAGTCTACAAATGCAGCGGACATTATACGATTTAAATTCTCACTACGTGGTATTATCTTGTCGTATAGCGTACGGTGTTAGCAAGGATCACACCGGACAGTGTGCGAGTGGTCCGGGAAAACAAATCATAACTTTTTTGTTATGATGAGCAAAACAAGCTGATTTAAAGATGAACTAATTGGGACCACTCAGTATTAAACACAAAATAATCCCCTTAACTTAAGGAAAAAAGAATGTGCCGGACAACTGACCGACCCTAATTTCCTACACGCCCGAACCTACGGTTTCAGTAAAATCCCTTTGTGCTACGGCTGCTAGTCTATACTCACGCGTACAAGTTGGCTCGCGTACGAGTTGGTCCGCGTACGAGTTATCCCGTGTACGAGTTGCCCCGTGTACGAGTTGGTCCGCGTACGAGTTGTCCTGCGTACGAGTTGGTCGCGTACGAGTTGGCTCGCATACGAGTTGACCTGTATTCGTCCTAACTATAGTTGGGACCGATACCATACTTGGGGCCAACTAACATCGCCAACTAGTTTGGTAGGGCCTAGGTCCAATAATTTTAAAGTGGATTTTGTTCCCTTATAGGAACCGGGCCCTACACTACACGATCGCCGAAAGAACCATAGTAACTTTTTGGCGTTTGAAAATTGATTAAAAAAAAGTGACGTACTAGTATGGTATTTTTTCTGCAACCTGGCCCAATCCGACTGGGCAAAGCAGGCTTCCCCCAACCCGTACCCCACCACCCGCGGCTAGCTGGACACAGCAACAAAATCCCCGGGCACAGTGAAAATACTTGTCTCAACGGGCGACATGTCATGCTTGTCTCAACGGATAGATGTTTTGTCTTTCCATTTAACGCACATACGGTCAAATGACGGTCGAGGTGTCCCAACGCCACGGTCATAGGCTATAGTAGACCCATGAACGTGGCTTGTAAACTACGCCACGCTGTTGTGTATTTTCGAACCTGGCGAAATTGTCCTTCTGACTCCCTCCGTTACACACACTGGACGTTATTTTGCCCATGTAATAAGTACAGTCAATTGACCGGTTCCGCAATTTGACCGGTTCCGCAATTTTGGAAAACTAGCTCTCGTTTTCAGGAAGACGAAAACGCCAAGGACTTAAACTTTGGTACCGATGGAAAGGTTATTCAATCTACTTTTCAAAAATGGTTTTAGTTTTAGGATACTCACTTACATTTAAAAATAAATCCCCTACGACCGTCACTTGCCGTTAACGAACTGCCGAAATGGAACGCGCACGGAAGCGTGATTTCATGTTTGTCGGCATGCTACACGATTGTTCAGGGGAATTAAATCATGGCGATAGATGCAACTTGTTCGGAAATTATTCATTATTCCACCATACAAATATAAGATTTGAAGTCTTTGAATTTTTTTTTCTATACCCACCAGAGTAACTGCTGGTCGTTTGGCCGGTTCCGCAAACGCATTCATACTGCCTATACAATACACTGGCCATGGTGTGACTGTATTAACCGGTGCTGCTATTGACAAGTATTGATGATGACGGACCCCTAGCGCGGCGCACTTTATTTATTTTGGCATGAATCTTTTTTTTTACTTACAAAGAAATTGAGAATTTCTATTAATCCTTGTTTAAAATGTCAAATTTGATGATCATTTCTGGGTGTTCAGTGCAAAATTGAAAACAAAATTGAAAAAAAATGATTTTGTAATGTTTCTGTCCAGCTTCCGGATAGCACTGTAGGTTTTGGATAAAAAAAATTCGGACTTCAAAATTTAAAATACAAAAATCTTTCTTAGTGAGCAAAATTCCCACTAAACGTTTTTCCTTTGCTCTAAAAAAAATCACCCCATACTTGATGTTGAAGCGGTTGTGCCTCAGGGGTTTGGATTCATTTTAGAGTTACAACTCTCCACATCCAGGGTGCATGAGTCAGCCCAGGCTAGGAGGTGAGGTTTGTGGGGAACAATTAAAAATAGTGCATAATAATATGGAAAATAAAACGCAGGTGTGTTTCCAACCCAAAGGACATTTCCAGTAATTTAGTAAATGTAAAATTATCCTTTTTCGGTGGGTTCTAACCTTACTCTTTACCCTTTTAAACAAAAAGAAAAATAGGTACACTAATATTTCATAATGAAGACCAGTCTCTCGTCAGTACAGAGACACAAATTTTGATTGTTTTCTTGGAGCACAAAATTTGTCAAATACTATAAACCATTTCTCAATTTTTGTTTCAACTTGGTCATAAACTAAATGATTTATATAAAATTTCTGTTTCATACAGACAATGCCAAAGACAAAGAAGAAGATTACACCAGCCTCCTGATAGGCCATAAGAGGCCATCGGCACATCTTTTTCAGTTTTACCTGTGAAGGTCAAGAAGAAGTTGAATATTATATAGTGAAAGTACATGTAGCTGTGTGTCTTCATCACCATTCCTTTGCTTTAATTTATTTATGTGACAAGTTCTTTTTTTGTATAGTGCTAGCTTCTGGAGTGCTTAAATTATTTGTGTATAACAATTAAACAGACATGCAGGTGTCATAAAGGCAATAAATTTAAAGGCGTTACATACATTTTTATTAACCAGTACATGTGAAAGAGAAGTGAGGTGTTTGAAAAACTATGCTACTTTGCATGAAAAACCCACAGAACATGTCTATTTCTGTGATTCACCACCATTTATTTATATGACAGGTATATTTTTGGATTTAAAAGGGGTAGCTTTTTGAGTGCTTTAGTTTTGTATTACATTTACATTTTACACATGCAGGTATCACATGTCAATATATTGAAAGGGTTATCAGGATGTACGTGATGAATGTGTTGACATTTTCTTTTAAGAGCATCACCGAACGGTAGATGAGGTTTGCTAATACATTTGCCCAAGCATGATACACGTACAGAGTTAATATGTGCAACAACGTATTTATGAGGAGTAACTGAACCCTCTCTTTAACTTTCCAACGACATTATAATTAGAAATTGCCATTGCTATGAAACAGCCATAGGACTTATGACATTTTTAACAATTTGTTTTAATTTGTTTGTGATATTTAATTTGAATGTGAAACAATATGTATGTGGCCTGTATGTATCTGGCCTGCTGAGGCCTGTTCCCCCCCCCCCCCCTCCCGGCCCCCAGGTTCCCCCTACTGGATGTTGGTGCACACAAAATTAAGCATATTGTGTTTTTACCCTGAACAAATTGAAACACTCCCCCCCCCCTACAAAAAAAAAGTAAAATGAAAAATTCATAAATAGCTGGTCTGTGCTTATGTGAGAAAAAAAAACAACCAACTGGAGCAATTCGGTACAAGGTTTGTGTCTGGTTCTATCCAAAGTCAGAGTGTGTCTAAATAAGAATAAGACAACAACAAAAAAGACAAATATTAGTGATTGCAAGATGATTGACAGAATGCACAAAAAGCAAGAAAGTCATTTCATTGGATTATTATTATTATTATTATTATTATTATTAATCATTTCTGGTAATGAAACCAAGGATTCCTCAAAAGCGCCCCAGGCACTGTAGCTCGCAAGCCTGAAAGAAACCTGTGGAGAGAAGACAATGAGAAGAAGTTACAGATTGAAGCAAGTCAAATAATTATAACGTAAAAAAAGATCCAACGAACCATAACAACTTCATGGAGTTACATTTTGTAAATTTGCACGCATTATAATTTGCATTGGCTCATGCACAGGGAAATATAATCCACATCTTTTCTTGGCTGGTTTGGGGGCAAAAATGATCTAGATTTGGCCAGTAAACAAGGAATATTTTCAGTCCAGTCTCACAGAGGGCGCCGTTTGCGAAACCGGAAAACGTTTGCGGAACCGGTCAAAGCACCGACCTCTACAAAATGTCCTGGCAAATTTCTCTTTCAAACGATTGCAGAAAACTATTTATATCATGAAGTAGGTGAGTAATTTGCGCATATTTATAGATAGGTAGCTTCCTGTGAAAGCGCGTTTTTTCGCCACAAGACGCTTCAGACGATTTGCGATTGCGGAACCGGTCAAACGACTGTACTCACATATGAAGCTGTCTTGAAATCTGTTTGTACGTCAAAACGAATTTGACGAAATTTGAGGAAAATTCAGGCCCCGGTTCATGAAGTCCTGCTAGCTGCCATTTTCTCCCAACTGACGCATGCGCATTGCGTTTTATTGTACCGTCCTGTTTCGTATGATTCGACGGCTGTTTACTGTCGCAGCTAAAAGAGACATCGTTTTAGACAAGTTTCAAGTCCTTTCCTCTCTCACTGCACCGCACGCGGGCGCACACGTACACGAGGTGAGCCGAGCAGCCAATCGTCTGCGGTTTTTTTTTCAGGTTGCGACATGAAACAGCCGTCAATCTGTCCAAGCGACAGGAAGCAGACGGGTAGCTCAGAGGGCTCCGATAATTTTGCACGCAAATGACCCGGGTACTCGTCCGGGGTCATTTGTCAGGGTCACTTGTCAGGCATGTCAGGTTAAAATCTAATTTCTACACGTTCATAATGGCTCTTTATTGATGGCAAATTTCGTCGAAATTACACAGCTTGAACAATCGGACGGGCACATTTAGATTTCTAGGTGAGTACTCAACATCCATACGGAATTATGTATGGCGGATCGATTTCGCTAGGTTCAAAAATACACAACAGCGTGGCGTTGTACAACGCCACGTTCACGAGTCTAAGACTAAGGCTATAGCGGTCGAGTTGTCTGACTTCCGATCTAGCATGTCTAGGTTAGGGCCCAGTAGGGGTAGCGTTTGGATACTTCATTCTTTCCAAATGTTTCAAAAAGACTCACTTTCTGTACAATTAGTAAGCTTTAGTACATCATCTGGTGTGACAGCATCCTTCTGCAGTAGTTCTTCTTCCGTTATCTCTGCACTGCCGCTAGTCGCCTTCTTCGCTTTCGCTTGTCGGTGCAGGAACCCCCCACCTTTCTTTTTCCCTGCACTCCCACCACTTGCTGGTGGCACATCTGGAGTACTCATGATATAAGATTCAGCTGTAACCACTACTATCAAACTAATGTCCTTCTTTGATTGTGTTGGAATTCAAAATGCCGGCAATATTTCGTTTAAACACTCCAGATAAGACACAAGAAACACAAGCACCACGTACGCCGTACCCCCGTCGTTCGTACGTGTGTACGGTTGATGCACGTACGTACGTATATTTACGATTTTAGCTGGTTTCCGTTCGCTTAAAAAGCGAGAAACGAGGTACCAGCTACTGGAGTTATTTTTGTAGACCTATATTTCATAAAATCCGGAACGTAAGAAGTATTAGCTTCGTCCCTTGTGCGCTTGTGTAAAAGCACAAAAATCTAAATTATCATACGAAAATGAAGATTTACCTTACATTTAAATCTAATCCAGACTCCTAATGCATACCTCACTGTAGTCATTAATTATACTTAATTGGACTGACGAAGAATTTCATTTGTGGGTTTATTTTTGTCTTGGTGTCAATTTATTTCGCAACATCTTCATGCAATAGCGTGTTATCATGGTGACGGTACACTTAATATTATGTGGCCTTTCTTTATGATATTATGACGTGATCAAGAGCGATAGTTGCAATGATCTCTAGCGCCCTTACATTTTTTTACGTTCTCGCCATTGATCTCTAGTATTAGTAAAACAGGATAGGACCACTGATCTCTATATAAAGATTGGATAGCGGATAAAGAGCCGCACAATGAATGAATTTGACGCCATATTGGTGAGACCGGTGAGACCGGCTGGTGATCTACAAAGGACAAGTTGCAGTCTTTATAGCATCATGGTTACTTTTGTAACATCGCGGTTCACTTGATTTATATTTTGACCACCACCACTGATCACGGTTTACAATTTTTTTCAACGTCTTGGTTTACTTTTGTTTAAATGCCACAGTTCATTTTTCGGCGTTTTGGAAATAATAATCACTGCGGAAATGTGTCCTTTTTTAGAACATCATAATACGTGTACGGGAAGCCGTGTACGTGACCAAACTGCGCGTCAACTCTTGATACAGCGCGCGCGCTATATACGCGTAGAATTAACGTTCGTAAAATACGCGGCCATCTCCGTGAGACCGGGGGCGAATTGGTCAATATGCAAAGTCTAATGTGTGACTGGTGTATGAATATCCGCTATACCGCAACCTCGTGCCTCGTGGGTACGATCTTGCTGCGCCATGTTGTTTCCCATCATGCCTTGCGCGATCGTGAGTGAAGGATAGAACGTACGCAGGAACGCGTGCTCGTTCCTTACACTAACCCACTGATCTCTATATAAAGACTGGTAAATTATTTCCCTGACTTATTTTACTCACGTTCTACACATCTATATGTCTATCTAGGTTTGTCTTTAACTGAAGCTTACTTTTTAGCCTGTCGGTCTGTGTTTATTCCTCCATGGTGCCGGTGTTTGACGTGAATATCCGGCCGGCAATGGTCTGCCGTGTATACCGTACCGCGCATCTCACATCACTCGTACTCGCACTATGCAAATACACGCGGAACATAGCGGCGGCCATCTTTGTGAGACCGGGGGCGAATTGGTCAATGTGCGAATTCTACTGTGAGACTGGTATATAGCTATTAGCTAATCCAGTCTTTATATAGAGATCAGTGCACTACTAACCCCTGGCTGTGATGATGACGTAAATCACGCTGAATGGCTATTCACAGTAAATCACAGCGTACTGCGCGCGCATTTCGAAGACTGCACGCTGGGCGCGCCCATAATGCGCTCGCGTGCAGCTTTGCACGTAACGTCACGTACGAAAAAAAAAATTATGATTCAAAAGTCGCGGTTGGACGAAGTCTTCATTGCAATACGACTAACGTCCAGGGCAAGAATTCTCTACATGAAACCATCCAACATTTTTACCAGAGTTTTGTTATGTTTTACCTCGTTATAGAAGCTTATTTCACGCCTACATACTCTATGTATCCTTATCTATTAGGCCGCTGGGTTCAAGAATTCCATATGCGATGCTGACTGACGTTAATCAGGAAAATAAACTCCAAAGCAACGTTGAACTTGTACCTTTGTGTAGACTCGTTTCATCAATTTCTCAGCGAGTCGTATGCGCTGTAGCGCCCTCCGTGCTCTGCGTCCGTGCAGCGTGAACGCGCAGTGCGCACGCGCGATTTGCTTAGTAACTGCGCCCTCAGACGCATGCGCACTAACTTTTTTAGTCCGCTGCGTGAATAATTGACAAGAAAAGTTTCAACCAGACTGAGTCGCATTGATCTCCTTACGGTATGGACGACGTAATCGATGTTGTTCTGAAGACATGGCGTATCTTACTCTTTGAAATTAGAACAGATGCGAGCGATCGAGTCTGTGGTGAAGAAATCCAAAAACGTTTTTGGATTGCTACCGACAGGTTTTGGCAAAAACGATTGTTATGGATGGCTCTCACCAATAATGGACAAAGTGAGTCTTCGATAATGTTGTGATAGTAGGCCAGACTTTAAGTTTTCTTTAATGGATGAGATGAGCTGGAACTACATAAATTTTGTACATACATCGAAATAAGTTTAACATTTTATTCAGTGGCGTAGCCAGGAATTTTTCAGTGGGGGGGGGGGGGGGGGGGGGGGGGAGGGGCTGGAACATTTTCATGGGGAGGCGTCATGTAGATCAATGATATTTTTTTTTAGAAACTCAAAATCTCAGTGGGGGCGACTGGGGGGGCGACGAGGTTTCATGGGGGGGGGGGGGGGGGGCTGTCGCCCCTACCCCCCCCCCCCCCCCCCCCTTGGCTACGCCACTGCTTCATAACGCATCTTACTGGTATTAATTTTCTTGTTGTGAGACATATTTATTGATTTTGTTATCTGTTATTTACCAGATTTCTTTTTTATTGATGACTGTATTCTCCAAAGGAGTATTGAATTGAATTGAATTGAATTGAATTGAATTGGTGGGAGCTGAGGTCTATTTATTGGACTTCAGTTCAAAGACATTTGGTGGTTCTGTCCTATTTAGCCTCGAATTTTAACTGCTTGGCTGTGGAATACTAAGCACATGCGTCATCAGGGGTTGTTGATTCAGCAATATATGGACACAATAATGAATAGAAAATTAGCTATACACCAGCCAGGAAAATAACAGAAGAGTCAGGGTGTAAGGAAACTTTAAAAAAAAAAAAAAAAAAACTAAAAAAAAAAACACACAACAATCGCGCGACAATTTGTGGACAATGTTTTTCCCGGTCTAGTTCGGGAAGAGTTCAGGCGAATTTTTATTTTTCGGGAGCTAGTGTCTGTAGGCTACTGCATTGATTTTGTTCTGTCCAAGTAAAGTTTGAGGGGAAAATCGCGAACGTCAAATAGGCCCAGTAACTATCCAATCCATTAGCCGTGGAAATTTTATTCCAGATCTTTAATTCGGGTAAGCCGCATGTTTCGTCCAATTCGTAACGAGTGCTCACACATCAATTCCTCAGATCAAACCAGGGGTAAAGCACATCACATTGGTGATATCCCCCCTTCGTTCACTAATGATGGACCAAGTGAGCAGGTGGTCTGCCGTGGGAGTCAAATGTGCGGCCATTTTGCAGGCTAAAGAAATGGACAATGCTACTAGATGGTAAGTTTGGTGTCGTAATTTGAATTATTACTTTAAAGGGATTATGTAACTTGGCTGGATCAATACTGTGACGGCCTGCAGTCGTCCCTGTTTATGATGTCATTATTTATAAATAGTCTTGGCATCAAGCGCCATGGAGAGTTCCTACTGCGCATGTATTTTTGTGCGAGTCACGCCCATTTTCCACAGGTGAGAATGAGTGCGCCCTCTCGTTACCACGCTCCAGTGACCACGCTCCACGAAACTTTCAGCCAATTAGGGATAAGGGAAGGGCAGAACAATCCAATCACAATTAAGACGGCGGGGTTTAGGACAATTTATTGAAAGCATCCTTAATTGTAAGTGAGATATAAAGTATGTGTTGAGTTAAATAAAGGAGGAGAACTAATTAAGAGCTGAAACCATACAGACGTGTGCCTCTCTCTTGCTGTGTGTCGTAGGTTATTCAAATACATGCAGTGTAAGTGATAGTTTCTAGTCGCACTATCAAGCAGGGAGATTGGAATCGGCACTGTCGCCACGCTACCTAATAACAGACCGGTGCCGATTCCAACTTGATAAGACTACAAATACCCGCTAATGAGAAACCGCTCGGATAACAGCAAAGGTCCATTACAATACGTTCAGCATTTCGGTATGATTGACTTTATAGCATATCCTGGCCAATTTGAACACGCGGCCGATTTCAATTCATTTTAAAGCACATCAGTACAGAACATCAAAAATTGTTGTTTAGTTTCGTTATTTGAGTAGTCTATCGATGGATCAAATAAGATCATTCAAATAGTCGTTCGATCGTTCAAATTCGTCGAAATCCTCATGCATTACATAGAGGTTGATCGAAAGTGTAGAATAATCCATTGGCAAACATTTTTTTCGTATGGATTACCTGTATTCAAATTCGTGGACGTACGTGCCCATATAAATAAAAACATATTTGTTTACGAAAAGACACACAAACGGAAAAAGACACGGCAAAAATCTAACACGGGGACAAAACAAGATTATTCATAATTTTCCCCGTCAAATTGGCCAGCCGGGAAAACCCATCGCTCGGAACATTTTAATAACTGTGCCCTGGGGTGTGTAGAACATTGTCGGTTTTTAAAGTGTGACTAATGTACAAACGGCGGATAATTTTGAACTCGTCTATCAAACTGCCTTTGAGCCAGGGACTGCAACCTGTATTTGATATTTTAATAACAACCATAAGTGTTCACGTTTCTGTTAGTGTTTTTATCGTTGTTAGGAATCAATCAGCAAAGGAGAATATCAGTTGGTATTTGCATCTCCAGAAGCAGTACTGCGACAGCCATGCATGGTGGTTGGCAATCAAGAGATGGCGTGATCGAATCACTGCTTTAGTCATAGACGAAGCCCACTGCATGACCAAATGGTAAAATCGGGGGTGTCAGGTCTTCTATTGAAGCATCAATGATGATACTGTCGATTGCACTGTGAAATTTACGTGGTTTTATTTCATCCTTTTGCGTTCCTGCAACTTCCCATTTTTTTGTTAATTGACACAAGTTTACCTTTTTATTTCGCACAAATTTTTACTGCACTGCAACACTCAACTTG